GATGATATTTGTGTAGGAGAGAATACCTAATGTGAAGGTGACCATGAGTGTTACCACAGCTAAAAAGAACACCATGAGTTCTAGAAAGTGAGTGTTTGTGAAAGAAAGCTGCAGAATAGGAGGAGGGTCACAGATAAAATGATCAATTATATTGGAGGCACCAAAATCCAACTGCAGCAGAAGGAGGGTTGGTGGAAAGATGATCAGGAATCCTGCAAGCCATGAGCTGAAGACAAGAAGGCTGCAGACTCTGCTGCTCATGATTGTCGTGTAATGAAGAGGTTTGCAGATGACCACATAGCGATCATAGGACATAGCAGCCAGGAGGTAAAATTCTGTCACTCCCAAGAAGATGAAAAAAAAAAATAACTGAGCCACACAACCATTGTAAGAAATGGTTCTGTCTCCTGTTACAATAGTGACAAGGAATCTGGGGATGCAGACAGAAGTGAACGATATTTCTAGGAAGGAGAAGTTCCGGAGGAAAAAATACATGGGGGTCTGAAGATGAGGATCTGAAAGGGTGAGGATGATAATGATCAAATTCCCAGTCACACTTAGCATGTAGGTAACAAGAAGAAACACGAAAAGTACAACCCTCCATCGTGGGTCCTTTGTCAGTCCAAGAAGAATAAAATCTGTCACTGCAGTGGAATTTCTCATTATTTTTTCTCTTTATCAAGGTGTCCTCTAGGTTAATTGTGAAGTATGTGAAGAAATAAGAAGTCTACTATCCTAATAAAGAAACAGAAAGAATTTTTTTTTTCTGTGTCTGGCTTATTTCACTTAGAATAATGTCCTTCAGGATTATCCATGATATCACAAATGCCAATGAGGAAGTATCTTTGTTATAAAGCTGAATAATATTCCATTGTTTGTGTAGATGTATATACATATAAATACTTTCATATTATGGTATATTTAAAATATATATTGTAATATCTTCAAAAGGTACAGATTTGGGGGTATGAAGAATACATAAGACTAGAGAACTAATATTGGTACTATAATTGATACTATATTGTATCCTAAAAATGTGATTTGAGAGCAAATTTTAGGTGGTCTTGCATTAAGAAAACAAACAAACAAACTTGACTTAGTAATCATTTTACTAAGCATATATATTTATTTATATATTTATATATGAAAACATGATTATACACCTTAAACATATACAAAACAGAATAACATGTTAACACATATAATT